TGCTGAGATGATTTCTTAACTGACTGTTGACAATATGCTGGGCGGGGGTGTTTGGTCTGGGGCCGATGGGCCAGGAGCCTGGAAGGCAGCGAGATTTCTGCTGAGGGGCTCCATGCATAAGGGTCAGGAGGGGAGCCAGGCCTGTGGAGGCCTCAGGCCTGAATGTTCGAGTGGAGAGCCTTAGCCACTGAGCTGTTTTCCTGAACACAAATTTGGCGAGATCTAAGCTCCCCTTAACACAGAGGTGGGTGGTAACTCCTTAGTCTGAGCCTCAGTAAACGGATATAAACGGCCCTCGTGAGAGCAATCTTGGACACATGTGGGGGCGGTCTATGCTTCTTGGACACAGGTGAGGAGCTCTGAGTCCCCTGGACACAGATAGGGAAGGTCTGGGTTCCTCTGAACACAGGCGTGTGGATCTGAGCTCCCACTGGGCACTGCTGTGGGGGTTCTAGGCTCCCCTGAGCACGGATGTGAGGGCTCTGGTTACCCTGGGGAGGCTTCGGCAGTCTCCATCCCAAGCACCGGTAGCATGAGTCTCAAACTCTGGCAATCCCCATTTTCCTTCCGCTTTTTTCTGATTCCCAGTTGACCCTAAGCCCCAGACGCCCCCAGCATGGCCTCCACGTCCCCGTCTGGCTGCTGAAGCCCCGCCCCCGCGTTAGTTGAGCAGGCTGGGGGTTGGACGCGTGGCCAAGCACTGAGGGTCCGGGTGGAATCTGGAAGGGACAGATTTGGGGCAGAGGGGCGTGACACACACACCCCCACCACCCCCGCCCCCGACTATACTGGGAGTTCCTGAGAGTTGCTCTGCGCAGCGTGAGGCAGAGGCCCGGGGAAGAGCACGAGGCGGGGCAAATTTGCATGTTCCGCTGCGCCTGTGATTGACACCCGGCTCTCTCCATCCCCCTCCCCCCCAGCCGCGGCTGGTGACCCAACTCAAGTGCCCCGCCCGAGAATTAAATTTCCTGGGGAAGATCAAGTTCTCGCCCCGCCGGGCTGTCAGCTCGCCCAAGGCCAGCGTCTTTCCGCCGCGGGCGGGTACCTCGCCCAGGTTCCTGGAACCGGGTAAACCGGTCTAGGTGCTGCTCCTGGGTTAGTCCAGAGCTGTGGCCCGACCTTTTCCCAGCTCAGTCGAGGCGGAACTGGGACGTCTGTCCCTTGGGCCCTGGCATAGTGGATGGGAGACACGACTAGAACTGTATCCTACTTGCTCTCCTGCAGGGCGAGCCTCTCTGGGCCTGTTTCCCGGTCTGTAAAAAAATGGACGTTAAAAAGACCGACCTCAAAGGAAAATTGCAAAGGCATCGTTCACAAAAACAAGTAAGCACTTGTTAGACTCGTCTCTGGCTTCTTGGAGGCCACAAGCTAGAAAAGGAGAAAAACCCAGAAACAAATATAAAATTGCAGTTGTGATAAATATTACAAAAGAAAAGTTCTTGATCTGAGTGTCAATAAATATAGATTTCTTGGACCAAAATGGGAGGAGGGTGGCAGACAGGGAACACTTCCCTGATAATTTTCCCTTAAGCTGAGCTGACTTAAGTAGGTGAATAGGGAAGGGGAAAGCGCTCTAGGAGAGATCACAATATACACAAAGGCCCTGTGCCTGGGAAGACTGTGGAAGTATGAGAAACAAAAAGCAGGTCAGTTTGTCTGGAGGGTGATGTAAGATTAGGCCGGAGGTAGGCTGGGCCCAGATCCAGCAGGACAGTCATAAGAGTTGTTGTCCTTCAGAAGAATTTTCCTAAATCTGGGACAGTGGGCAAAACGATTCAATGTTATTTGAATAACATGGAATGCATCTCTCAGAGTCCCTTCCTTTTCAGCTTTCAGTCCCAGCTAGTCTTTTGACTTAAGGATAGTCTACCTTCTTTGGCAACAGCTTGTCTTTAACCTTGCTGATTTTCCTTTGTAAGTAAGAAAGCTGCCTGGAACCTCACATTGGCTAATGTTTCAGTGGGATCTTATGACAGGACTTCATTTTCATTGTAACTTTTATGAACAGCTACCTTCTAAGTATAGTGAGTGATTAACCAGTGGGTTGTTTTAAAAATTAGATAAATAATAATACAGTTGTCAGACTGATCTGATAAAATCCTGAACCTCAACTGTCTGAAGTTTGGGAAATTCTATTCTAAGAGCTACGAGAAGCCACTGATTAAATGATAATAAATATTAAGCGCTTAGCGCTTACTCACCCAAGACAACCTCGTTCATTCATTCAGGCCTGGGCTAGGCATTCATTAGTGGAACTGATATTTGAATGAGGTTTCAGATGCTAAATAGAACATAATAAATCCTTTCAGACGGTGAGCAGAGCTCTAAGGAAGGCTAAGCAGAGTGGCAGAGTGGAGTGCTATTTTAGATCAGGTAGCCAAAGGCTTCCCCAAGGAGGTAACTTTTCAGCAGAAACCTGAAGAAAGTGAGAATGGATTTGTGGGTATCTGGGAGAAGAGCACTGCAGGCAGAAAGAATAGCAAGTGCAAAGGCCCTGAGGCTTGGGCTGGAACATGCTTGGCCTGTTTTGCAAGCAGAAAGGAAACCAGTGTGGGAGGAGCAGAGGGGAGCCGGGAGAATGAAATGATCCAGTTTGTGGTTTATAAGATTGGTGCAGCTGCTGTATAGACTAGATTGTGGGGGTCAAGGGCAGGAAGACACTGCCCTAATCTGGATGAAAGGTGATGAAAGAAGGAGAAAGGTTTGGAGTGGGGTAATTGGTCAACATGACAGTCCCTGTGACTGGATGGAGTGTGAGCAAGAAGAAAAAGAGATTCAATTCAAGGAGGATTCCTCAATGGGAAGGGTGGCAGGAAACCAAGAATTCTTTCTGGGTCCTGTTCTGTTTGGAATACCTTAGACCCCTATAAAGAGACCGGGATGGAGAAATAAATTTGGAAGTTAGCAGAGAGGTGGCATTTAGAGCCCTAAGACTGAATGAGGCTGCCAGGGGCAAATGTAGACAGACAGGCCCAGGGCTCGAGGTAGGAGTCATTGGTAAGGGCGGAGAAAACCATGAGTGTGGGAGGGAGAGGAGAAAAAAAAAATCAATTCTGTTAAATCACTAGGATTTGGCTAAACTCTGGAGCTGGGAGGGGAGGCAGACCCCTTGTTGACACTGAGCTACTGGAGGGAGAAGGGGACTGCTTTTCCAACTCTCTAGGTTTAGCACACACTTCCATACGTATAGACTTGTAGTGCTGTATGTATATTTTTAAATGGCCAGCACTATTGACATCCTGGCCTCTAACAAAAAAATATCAACACTATGTGCCAGGCACTTTTACTAAGCACTTTACACGTACTATCTTGCTTAATCTTCACAATGAACCTAAGAGGTAGGGACTATTATTTCCAAAACTTACAGCCAGGGAAACTGAGGCCCAAAAGAAGTGAAGTAACTTGTCCAAAGATACACAGGAAGCTGGTTCTTTGGCTTAGAGATTTGTGCTCCTTACCACAACTTCTGCAGCTGGCCTTTGTCACCAAGCGTCATAGTTCTGAGTTATCTCTGTTGCCTGAGCCTGTAGATCTGTAACCCAGTGCCATATCATGGCCTGAAAATTCCAGGCTCCATCAATGTCGGTTGTTGTGACAAGTTTTTGATTTTGCCTATTCCGATTGGTGAAATGGGGTCTTGGGGAGATATATCTTAAGGGGATGTGTGTAGGGGGTTGCTGGTCTGTCTCCCACCACATCATCTCCAGCCCTCAGCCCCGGTGGCCGGCACCACCGGAAACCCCCAGGCGGCCAGGGCGAGGGCGGGGGTCGGCCAAGTCGCTTCCCGCGGAAGGAAGGGCTCGGCGGTTCCTGCGACAGGATGCGCAGTGAGGCCCCCTCCCCAGCCGCCGGGGACTTCCCTGGGCCCCGCCAAGTTTACAGGGGAGTTGCTCCCACGCGGACGCATTAAGCTACCGCTGGGGGTGTGAGCCTCTAGTCTCCCTCCGTCCCACTGGGGAGTTCTGGGTCAGGCCCCCGAGTGGGTGACGCTAAGTCTCCCACGTTTCTCGGGAATCCGTTGGCGATGGAGGCGAGCTGGTTAGATTCCCCGAGGGGCCCTGAGAAAGGAAGGGTGGGGGTGGGGTGGGGCGGGGCAGGTGGACCAGGCAGGAGAGAGCATGGAGCGGGTCCGCCCCTCCGCCGCACCCTCCTTCTTCCACCCTCAGGCCCCAGGGTCAGGTCCCTCAGGGTCACCGGAGGCTCGCGGTGGCGGAGCCAGCCATCTGGAGGGGGAGGAGGGTGGGCGCTTTCCCGGCGCCTCCCGCCGCCCTCACTCCCCGCACCTGCGGCTTCTTTGTCCTCCCAACCACCCTTCTCCTTGGCCAGTGCTGGGTAAATTATGAGGAATTTTTCCCCTTGGGGTGGCAAACCTAGAGCTGGGGTGGGGCTAAAGCAAATGGCAAGGGCTCCCACGGCCATTTCTAAACCTACGGCCTCCTCGTGGGGAAGCTGTTTAGAGGCCCATTCCACGGATGAGGAAACCGAGGTTGGTTGCTTATCTCTCTGCCTGAGCCACACAATTACACCGTCAGAGATCGGAACAGGGCAGAAAGATCGCTCCAAAGCTCACGTGCTCAGCTCCCCCGGGGGCCGTGGAACCCCAGCCAGAGATAGTTCAGTTGGTCAAGTGCAATGGGGGAGAGACTTGCCATCGTTCAAGTCTCCCAAGGAGGCGTGGTTCCCCAACTACATTTGGGGAACTGTCCTCAGCAGTAGACGCCAAACGTCTGAACTCGGAAAACCCTCTTCTCCTGCCGGACTTGTTGGGGGAACTTCTAAGGGATCCCCAAATGGGGGGGGGGCTCAATAAGGAGTCGGAACGCCGGGTCACCCAACACAGAAGCGATTGAGCTGAGAAAAGGGGATCCAGCCCCCTCCCGCCCACTCTGCCCACGTGGGAACCGGTCAGACTGGTTTCTGGGGCCCTTGAAAGCTGCCACCAGAGCCTGACCCCTTAACCCTGCCCCTCCCCCACCAAGGAAGAATACTAGACAGCAGACTTCTTATTCAAATGGTCTTTATTTTCCTTATCTGGCGTCTCCAGCAAAAGGCCAGATTGACAGAGTTAAACAATCCACCAGAGTAAACAGACTCTCAGAACGCCCTGGCCAGAATCTCCCTCTCCCTAAACTAGCGCAGTCCACCAGCAACTGGTCCAATCTTGGCCTTACAGCTCTCTGAACATCTCCTTTCCACCATTTTTGTGATTCAAACAAAGATCTCCTGGCTTGTGTCTGAGGGAGAGTCACGCTAGAAATAGTGAACATATCCCCACCTCGAACACACCAAATGAAAACAATTTCAACCTGAAATCAGATCAGCTTCCTCCACCCAAAGGCGTAGGGGCGCAGCACACGGGGGCGAAGTGACTCAAGCCTCCCTCCTCCCATTCCCCACGGCGATCCACACCCCAGGCCCTCCTCCCAGGCCCCACGCCCACGTAAGGCAACAGGAAGCTCCCCACGTCTGTCCCATGACGCAATGATGACCGCTTGCATAAGTGTGTCACTGGAGGGGGGAAGAAGAGTGCCTGGAATGCTCGGAGTTGGGAATGCGAACATTAACTATTGAAAAACCTTGAAAGGGCAGCACAGCCCCCAGTAAAAAATAAAGTCCGACCCTGAGGAGTTTCAAGAACCAAGCCTCCCTCTCCCAGTCCCAGGAGACGGAAAGGCCACGTCCCCGTCGGTTAAGACAGCACCTGTGGGCACGGCAGGTCTCGGCGGAAGGCGCCCGCGCCCCCGGCTCCTTGACGCCGCCGCTGCACACGGGCGGCGACAGCTCCCCGGGGGCAGAGTCCGTCTTCGGGCTTCTCAGCAGCCCGGGCGGCAGCTCCTCTCCGGTTTCCGCGGTTGATACCGCCGGGTGGACTGACCTCGGGTCTGCGTACTCCAGCCAACGGTTCGGCCAGCGCTCTGGGCTCCAGCAGCGCCGCTCGGGGGCCTCAGAAAGCCACTACGGCCCGCACGAGAACGTTTAACATGCTGTCCGCCGGGCGGCACACGGGCTTTGCCTCGCACGCCGGTGGCGGCACTGTAGGGGGGCTGGCGGGGCTGCAGTTTAGGAGGCCGGAGAATCGCCTCTGTAGGACGCGCGCCAGGTTTGGGAAGGCGCCCTCCGCTTGCGCGGGAGAGGGCTGCAGGCGATCGGGGACCTCCGAAGACGCCCCTTCTCCCGCCTGCTCCTCTTCTAGACGGGCTTTCTTGCTCGGAACCAGTCCGGCGTCCCCGCAGTCGCTCAGGCTGCTGCTCCGCCGCTTGCGGCTGACTTTGGCCGGGCGCGGGGCACAGCGAGCAGGGATTTCCTCGGCTCTTGGCGCCTCCTGCGTGTCCATGGGCTCCGGGCAGAGCTGCTCACCGCCGGAGGTCGCTGACTCGGCTGCGGTTTGTGCTCCCCGCGGCGGGTGCAGGCGCGGGTCAGAGCAGCGAGTGGGCGGTGAGGGCACCTCGGGCTGCTCGTGAGCTTCCACTTTTGCTGAAAGGTACAGTTCTCGGGCGCTGCGCATGACCAGCGACAATTGCAGACTCCGGTGTAGCCGAAGGCCCCCGCGTTGCATGCGCGAATGGTACATCTTCCACACTGATAGGGTCATGATGCGTTGCGCCTCCTTCTGCACTTCCATGGCGACTCGACGGCGAGGGCGGTGGGGATTCCCCGTCTGGGCAGGACAGATAGCAGGTGCACTCCGGACAACGAGCTCACTCACGCCTCTCTTTACGAATGACCTACGCCGTAACCCTGCTAGGACGCTATGCTCAGGCGTCCGCCACCCGGGCTCTTTTGTATCCGGAGTAACGTCACGGAGACGCCCCGCCCAATCAGAGCGTCGCATCCGGGCTTTCCGCGGCGCCTAGGCCAAAGAAGCCTTAAAGCGACAGGGTGAAATTCACCCCAGTCCACGCTGAGATCTTTGGGTGGTCTCCTTTCTGGGCCCCACCCCGCAATGCCCCCACGCGCAGGCCCAGGGGAGGAGGGCCGCGGATGAGACTAGGGGCCCACCCATGGGCTAGATAGAGTTCGCAAACCCCAGCAAGTCGTAGGCGGCTAATTTCGCACTCAGAAAGACCCGGGTTCGAACCAGTACATCCCCCGTGGGCACAGTTTCTGGCGTCTCATTAGTATTTTTTTAAAATTAATAACTATCTTAACACTTGTTAAGAGGTTACTACGTGCCAGGTGCTGTTAAAGGCTTTCCTTTTATAAATCTCATTGATCCCTCACCTCCACTCCGCGGAGGGTACTGTTATACCTGATTTCTTCATGTGGGGAAACCGAGGCAGATTCGTCCAGTATTTGCTAGAGGAATAAATGAGCCATTGCAGTGAAAGAGGGTCACTGGGGCCTCCTCTATAGCTTACACCAGCCCTCCTCACTCCCCTATACGGTAAGGAGGCGGGCAGCGCTGGCTGGCTCCAGGGCAGAGCTACGAGTGGCGGATGTCTGTAGACAGGAGCACAGCCCGGGCTGCCGTCTCTGCTCTCCGCACTGAGCATCCTCCCAGTTTACTTCAGTACAAGCTCCTCAGCTTGGCACTTGCGAGGCAGAAAACCCGACCGCAGGACAGTCCGGGTGGACACACGACTGCCGCGCCCGGAAACACGCGGGCGCGCTCCGCCTCTGCACCCCGAGAGGGACGGTTGGGGTAGGAGCTGGAAACTGAGCAACGCAAAGAGCAGATAGAAATATTGGACCCACCCCCCGTTACACGCTATTGCTCCCAGAAAACCTATTTCCAGTACCCCCCAAAAACGATGCAAAATTGAATGGCTCCATTCATTCGCGGCGCG